GTCTTCACATTTGAAACATTTTTCATTTTTTTGTTGGTGAGGAGGGGGGGGGGGTATGCTCGGACACAATTATGGTTAGGGTAAGAAAAAAATTAAAGGATGAAGTAAAGTTTTGAAAAATGTATGTATATATAAGTTACAACAGAAACCTAAATTTTCTTGACTATTTCCCATCGAAATGGCCAACACGGTCGCCGGTCAATCGTCTTCCAGTGCTTCTGACATGCTTTCTCTATTCGGATATTTATTTTCCTTTGCTTCAGCATCCCAAAGCTCTCATGGATGTAAATTTGAGTTAACCTAATAGTTTTTTTTTGCCTAACAATCCTATAGGTGTGCTAACGTTAATAATGGTAAGGATATTTTACCATTTTTTGTTGATATGTTTAAACCACAAAAAGGAATTTCCAATAATTCAACGACAGAGCTAATCCTGATTAAAAGTCTTAGTTATAGTGAAGGAATCCTTGAGTGATCTGGACAAAAAATGAAGTGGATAGAATGAATATTATTGAGAACCTTCAATATGTTGTAATTGGAGAGTTTTCGTATGGTTGGCCAGAAATTGAAGAGTTTCACATTCAAATACCAAACAATGTAACGTAAAAAGGGAATGTAAAATTGATTTCTTATGGAATATAAACACATTTTAATTCGATTCACTAGGCAATATGATGTTCAAACCTAACCATTACATACAATCCAAGGATGGTTATTCTTATTTGATGAGGCCTCTGATTTATAATGTTATATTTAACATACATCAGGAAACAACACAGGTAATGACATGGATTTTCATTTTGAATTTAAAACCAACTTTCTTTGTTAAGGAATCCATATTATATTATCTTTAGCATCAGTTGTTGGAAATCGCTACAATTAGATATGACAACAATAAATAAGACTCGACTGCGAGGGTCAAGGTGTAATTTAATTTGTTGGTAGATTTTCTCAAATTCATAAAAGTAGAAGTTGTGAATGAAGAGACTAAGGCTTTTGGGGTGGAGAAAATACGTATTCTATATGTCATAGTACAAAAATATTGTAAGCATTGTAGATCACAAGGGCATGCAGAAAGAGAATGTAGTGTGTTTCATCCAAAACTCAAGAAGATAGTACAAGAAGAGGTTCAAGAAGAATAATGAAAATGCACCACTAGAAGTGGCTTAAGTTAGAGTGTGCTAATAAAATGTCACCCCCCCCCCCCATAAAAAACATATCAAAAGGATACTGTTACGATCGGAAAGTACCCCCAAAGTAACACGGTGTACTCGACCTCTCGGAGATCTTATACAAACCCTTAACATTCATTATGAAAAGTAGTGCAGAATTTATAACTTTTCACATAAAGTCAATAAGGAAACCCTTTTATAAAACATAAGAAGAACTAAGTCTCATCTTTAAGCCACATTAGACACTTCTCATTATCGTAGGATTGTGACCCTTTACATTGAAACGAACTTATGTCTAATACAAAGTCTTTAATGAAAGAAAACTAGAAATATAGTACATGTCCTCGAACATATGAGGATATACGAAGTCTTGAGAGAATTCTACTTCCCAAGATTCAACTCAAGAAATCCTTGCAACCACCAATACTTGTAGACATAGAGAAGGATATAGAGTTAGTACAATTAAGCATTAAGTATGATGATCATGCAAGAAATCATGAAAAAGAGATATTTTAGTTAAAATATGTTTTTCATGCTATTTTTGAAAAAAATCTCATAAACAGGGTACAAAAGTCATCATGCAAGTACATAATCAACCACATAAGATGATACTCACATAATATTCAAGATAAGACCGTAACCAATAAGTAACCCATTTAGCCATTTAGGCCCTCTACCTAAGTTTATCCTAAGACCCACCTCGGTAAGATGTGAAGAGACCTCCCATACAACCTCTTCATACACACCTAGATGATCCTCAAGACTACCCTAGGCAAGGATATTTCCTTTCCAACATAACCACAACAAGTCAATATTCATTACTAAAGATCCTAAAAGAAAAAATCATGTATTCAAGGGACTTCACATAATGGTCTTGGAAGACCTAGGGAACTCACTTTAGCATCTTCAAGGCCTACCTGTGACGTGTAGAAAACGTCTCATTCCACTACCTACACATTGTAGAACCTATTCAATAACTATATTGCACATCCCAGATGGTGAGAATAGGCATTAACTGACACAGACCACACTAGCTAGGTATGGAATTCAATGTCATAAGACCCCACACCGTGAAAGGTGTTCTACTTGACAAAGTTTGAACTAAGAACACATCCCATGTAGGCACATGGTTTAGGGGATATCAAGGGCTTCTTTGTACTCTAGTCTCATCCTCAAGTAGAGCTACCACCACAAACATATCCGGTTGGTGCTTTTTCTTGGTTCTCATTATGTAAGTTCATTCACATAATAGTATTTGAGAAGGTACCATCTCTAAGTCCTATCAACTCATAATACGGCTACCAAGAAAGGTCCACAGGGCTGCCGATCGAGGTTCATTCGGATAGCTCATTTATAAAATAGGTAACATGCTATGTATCTTCGATTCACTTCGTTATAATCAAGGTTTCACGTCCACTTAGGGTTCTAGACTCATCAAGAAAGGGAACCATTCTTAGGTCTACCACTACAAGACATACTTTAAAACACCTCATTTATCATTCATGGATCAAGTAGGGACAACTAGGTCTACCTAAACAAGACACCATATCAACATGTAACATACCTACATTTAGAGGAACATTCTTTCATTCACAATATCACATAACCTTATACAAGATCTCCTCAAGATCACAACAAGAACACCTTCACATTACACATTCATGTATACAATATCATTTTTCACATTGTACACCCATATAATCCATAACATGATGATACTACAATTCACATAATAATGCCAACGAGGCCATGTTCCTAACAATTATAACAATTAAGTACCGCCACCATAAGTGGACCATACGAATCAATAGACATAAGATATCAATTCTACATTACATAAGGGAATCAGGTCAACTTACCACCCTCCAATAGCCACAATCACTATTCCTTAACGTCTCCAACAATTTCCACACTACAATAGAACTTACCCATTAGCATGCCCATAAGGCTAGACCACCAACTCATCCTTTTATCCATAATTCATCATATATAGATATAGATAACAATACAAATCAATAATATAAAGCAATCTAAATACAATTCCACTCATAATCAATCACAATTGCAAAACCCACTTTACAAGACATCAATTATTATTGAAAACATTATAACTCATCCATTTAAACCTTTTAATGCAAGAACCCATGATTTAGAGTTCGAATTAGGGTTTTTAGAATTTTTGAGATATTTTGAAAAGCCTTTGAATCGGCTCCTTGAATGATAGAAGAATCAAGGATGAAATAACCATACTTTATTGAAGTTCTATCCACAAAATTTGGGTTGAAACCTTTCAGAATTTGTAATCTTCCCTAAAGCTTGAAAGTTCTTCAATGGAGGTTTTGGAGAGAGAGAATGAAGAGATTTTGGTTTTTAACTTGAGGGTTTCCTTTTTGATTGGTGAAGTGCTGGGGTAAAAGTGACTCAAAATTTTTTTGTAATAAATTCTCAAAGTACCCAAAACACCCCCACACTAGTTGGACCTTTTAATTAAGTTTAACTTGAGTTTTAAATGACAACACCAAATTTTGGACATGGCTGCGTGTCGCAGAGACACTTCTTAATCTTGTTTCTGGAATTTACTTTGAGGTAGAAAGGTTCTTGAGAAGCCCGTGACACAAAGGAATCTTTTTGCCTCTAAGTGTTGGGCGCGTGACGCGCTAGCACCTCCTATAAAGGGTGTTTCTTGCACGTTGTTTTAGCAGCCTTTTGGCCAAAGCTAGGAGGACCTCAAGGAACCTTTGTTTGGTCTTAACGGAGTCGTACCCAGATGTTTCGACCCTAATATTATTTATTAAGAAACTAGGGTCACCTTCACTAACTCGTTAATCTAAACGATACATCGAAACAAGGAAAACTTACTAGAACACACTAGCACACAAAAGACTAATTTTCAAACGTCTTGGTCGTCCTTTTACGTTTGACTTTGAAACTCTTTACAACTGACTTCAAAGGATGAATTTCATTAATTTAATAAGTTATTAACTCAAGAAACTCATGTGAAGCTCTAATTTATCCTAATTCAATTTGATGGTGTAACAGTCTCCCCCACTTGGAACATTCGTCCTCGAATGACATTTGCAACACTTTAAACACTTCCAAGAGGTGAAGACTAAAGACTACCAGCTCACCATCATACATTCAACAATATATTCAATATATCATGCTAGAAGAAACATCAACTTCACACATATAACCTCAAACACAACAAGAAGGAAGGAACAATATCTACAAACTCTTCATGCAATGAGGCTTCACATTTCTCATTTCACATTGGAAGAACTTCCTTCTCCACATTATATCATATGCCACTACAACATTTTTAAAAATATCATGCCAATTTCTTTAAAAACACGTTTATGCATCATTTTCAAGAATTCACTTAAAAACATGTTCAGACACTCATGCAACATTTAGGCAATTTATTGTAGAGGCATCAGAACATCAAGGACATGGTCAATAATGCTCATTTTACATATAAACATAAACTCATGAAAAAAATGCAATATTATATGGATTCAAGGAAACTCATTTTCACAAAGACTCCCAAACACATGCAACATGCACCCATCGTACACCCTAGACGATAGGGCATCCTTCAAGTCACCACACGGCGTATTCGACCTTTCGGAGGCCTTATACGATCCCTTTGATATCATTCATCACATATGTATATATGAAAAGTAGTGCGAAATTAAAACTTTTCACAACATAGAACCATAGTTCCAAAATTATCTTTATAGAAAACATAGGAAATATTAAGTATCGTTTTCGCCATCTTAGACACACAAATATCTTGGGTCACGGCCCATGTATCAACATAATAGAAATAACAAAGTCTAATATAATATCTTTAACAAGAAAATCTAAACATGACTATGTCCTCGAATTAATTGAAGACCTACCCCAACTTGCTTCAATGAATACTAATGCCAAAGCTTCACTTCAATGACTCCTCTCAATCGTCACCTACACCTTTAGAGATAAGACAAAGTATATGGAATTAGTACATTAGAATTCACTAAGTATGGTGTAATGCAATAAAATCATGTTAAAAGGACATTTTACTTTTAAGTATGCTTTCCTGCTCGTTTTGAAGAAAATATTCATAACATAAGTATAAGATTCAACCTCCAGTAAATATATCCACATATAAGTCACATTCCAAGTAATCCATATTATAGGATTAACATTACTTCAAAACATATAAGCATAAAACCTCCTACCAAAGGTTATCCTAAGACTAACTTGAGTGAGTTATGAAGTGACCCCCATACAACCTCTTCACACACACCTAAGTGATCCTTAAGACTTCCTAAAACAAGATTATTCCTATTTCATCAATTATTTCCCTACCTAAAGTTGCTCTAAGACTCACCTAAGTAAGACATGAAGAGACCGCTCATACACCCTCTTCAAGCCTACCTAAGCAATCCTCAAAGTTACTCTAGATAAGTATCTTTTCATTTACATGCATTAACTTAAGTCAACTATGTTCATTAAGCCATTTAGGATACATTCACCAATTAAGGACTTTACATAATGGTCTTGGAGAAAACCTAGGGAACCTATACCCTTGTACCTTTAAAGCCTACTTGTGTCATGTCTATAGGGTCTCATTCCACTACCTAAATGTTGTAGAACTTATCCAATACTAGAATGTATCCCACATGATGAGAATAAGCAATAACCGACATAGACTATAATGGCTAGTCATGGAATCCTGGAGTCTACCCTACTCCAATGGAGGGTGTTTTACTTGCCAAGGGTAGAACTAGGACACATACCATGTAGGTACATGGTTAAGGAGTATCAAGGGTTTCTTTGTACTTTATTCTCAACTTAAGTAGAGTAACTCCCCAAGCATATCCACTAGGTGCTAGCCTTTGTTCTCATAGAGTAATTCAATCACAAAGGCATATGAAGATGTTCATAACAAAATCATAATAAACCTTACCAAATATGGGTCCACTAGGGCTGCCAAAAAATTGTTAATAGGATAACTAATGACTTCCTTAAGGATGGTTTTGTGACATTCCAGTCAACCAACCCCTAAGTCCATTATTCGCACAAGAAGGATATCATTACAACTTTCAACTTCAAGGCTATCATAACCTTCTTTCTAGTTTGAAGGTTCCAAGTTAATGACCCTCTTAACCATGTTCAATGTCATATTTCAATCACAGATACACTTAAATAACAAAGGTGTTTTAGCCTACTAAGTTAAGAGTCATATTCACATTCTTCATGTATCAAGTAGAGAGACATAGGTCTACCAAACAAGACACACTTCATCGTCATTTTATTACATGCACAATCACATTTAAGTAGCACATAGGGACATTTAAGTCCACTACTACTCATTCCTATTGAAACATAAACGTAATCCACCATAAGACTCATATTGCCTATTAGGAAGAATCATACTTCAACATCAAATGTACACACATAAGAACATCATCATAGTATAATATGATCACCTAATGCCAATTAGGTGACAACATGCTTTCACTTCATTCATACTCAGATATCACATAAGCCTTCACAATGACCACATATACAAGCTATATAACTAGATAACTTCACAATTTATAAAGTAACGCCGACAAGGCCACATTCTTCACAATTATAGCACAGAAGCACTGCCACCATAAGTAGACCATACCAATCAACATAATCCAATAACTATACTACACAATATAGAAGAGGTTAGGTCATCTTACCACAATACCATCAACATCTCCAATCCTTAGCCAATCCAACCAATTCAATACATAAAGGCTCCTACCAATAGTCATAATCACCAATTCAAACCAATAATCAGACCAAAGAATGATCCAACACAATACGATATGAAATTTATCAAATTAAGACAACCTATATACAATTCTACCATAATTCATTCATATATCATGTCACGACCCAAGATCACACCCTAGGAGCTAGGGGACTCTGAATCGCAACGCGGTGTACTTGACCTCTCATAGGTCTTGTACAAGCCTTTCGAATCACTCATCGCATATACACATATAAAAAGTATTGCAAAATCAAAACTTTTCACAACATTCGAATAGTCTTTCAAAATATCTTTCATATAAAAACCGTAGGAAATACTAAGTCTCATATCATCAAATCCTTACACAAGAGTACTTTGGACACACACATGCATCAACATATAGTACTACTAAGTATGTTACAATATTTGGAAGTAAGAAATCAAAAGACATCTATGCCCTCGAGTCAAATGAGGACATACTTCAAACTTGCTTGAAAGATCCTATAATCCAAGCTTCGCTCCTGAAATGCCCTTCACCTATGAATAACTTTAGAGATAGATAAAAGTACGGAATTAGTACAAACTTGTACTAAGTATGACATAATGTATAAAAATCATGATAATAGGCATTTAATGGAAATATGCTCTTTTTTATTAAAACATCATAGCATAAGCATAATAAGAATATTTACCACCTTAGAAACACATTAGATAACACTTAAGCATTTAATCACAATTTAAGGACATTATAGTGAACTATGTCACTATTATAGTGAGATAATTCACTGTAACAGTGAAGTTGTTCAACTTCATAGTGAACCCTTTTTAACATGCGACCTTCTCACTAAAAGTTATCCTAAGACTCACTTAAGTGAGACAAAGAGAGACCGTCCATTGACCTTCTCTAATCACACCTAAGTGATCCTTAAGACTACCTATAATGAGATAAATACACTTACAATACACTAAACACATAACATGAGATCCTCCTACCAAAGGTGATTCTAAGGTTCACTTCAGTGAGTTGTGAAGCGACCACCCATAGAATCCCTTCACACACACTTAAGAGATCATTAAGAGTACCATTCATATAAAATGCTTTCTAACTTAAGTCATCATCTTCTTTAGTTCATTTAAGAGAACTTCATCACATGGTATTGAAGAAGATCTAAGGACTCACTCACTAACATCTTCAAAGCCTTTTGTGCAATTTCTAGATAGCATCTCATACCAGCACCTAAACTTGATAGAACTTCTCCAATACTAGTAGGTATCCCATATAATGAGAATAGGCAATAACCGACATATACTATGGTAGCAAGGCATGGAATCAGGACTTGTAACCTACTCCGATGAAGGGTGTTCTACTTGACAATGGTAGAGCTTGGACACATCCCATGCAGGCACATGGTTAAGGAATATGAAGGGTTTATATGTACCCTAATCTCATCCTTAATTAGAACTACTCCCCTTACGATACTCACTCGGTGCTAGCCTTTGTTCTCATAGAGTATTTCAATAAAGGAGTACATGAAGAGGTTCCATATCTTGTTGATAACCCAATCACATTCACCTTACCAAAGAGGTCCCCTAGGGTTGCCTTTCAATGGTTAAGAGGATGGCTCAATGATTTTCCTAAGGATGATTTCATGTCGTTTGAGCATACCAACCTTAAGTCCACCATTCACATAAGAAGGATACCATTACGACTTTCGACTTCAAGGATATCATAACCTTACAACTAGGTTGAAGGTTCACATAAAGGACCTTCTTAGCAATGTTAAAGGTCACATATCATTCATCCATGCAAGACTAAGAGGATTTAGCATCCTAAGTCAAGAAGTCATATTCTCATTATACATGTAAAAGTAAGGGACTTAGGTCTACCTAAACAAGACACATAAATATTTTATACCTTTCAACTAGCACATAAGAACAACCAAGTCAATTTTAGGTCACTCTATACAATACTATAGGATTATCAACAAAACAAGACTCATATAGCCAATTAGGAAGAATCATGCATCAACTCTAAGACTACACACATAATGACATAGTCATAGTCTAACATGATCACCTAATGTCAATAGAAGAACACATATTTCCACCTTAATCACATGTAGATAGATATGATCATACTTCACATAAATCAACTACACAAATCATCATGATATATCAATTAGTTCCGACAAGGTCATGATCATCATAACATATAAAGTAACGATGACGAGGCCACATCATTCACGAGTAAAACACATAGCATTGCCACCATAAGTGGACCATACCAATAACATCATAATTCAAGACCTACATTAAATAAAATAAAGATAATTAGGGCAGCGTACCACCAATCCATTCTCACCACTTCAATCCATAGCTAAATCATCCAATACAATACTAAAAAGGCCCTTACCCATGTCCATGATCATCAATTCGATACAAAAATCATAATACTCAATGATATAACTAAATTCAACATAGATTTATCAATATAATATAGACAATAATTCATTCTATACAATTCTTACATCATTCAATAGCCCAATAAAAATTACACTAGAATTCATAAGCATTAGGACATAATCAAGTCACCCACAAATTACTCAAAAACTAGGGTTCATGAATTACGCGGGTTCATAGATTAATTCGGTTAAATCTATATAATTAACATCAATTTAATAAATATATAATGATTCAAGAAGTTTTATGCAAGAACATATTGATAGATATCAAAATTGGACAAGTTCATCTTCAGAAGACTTTAGAAATCACTTTGAAATTTGGCTCCTTGATGAAAAGAGTTTCAAGGATGAAGAAACATACCTCAATGAATCTAAACCACTAAATTGATGAATAATCACCAATAAAATCTTCAATCCAAGCTTTTCCTTGAGTTTTGGCTTCAGTGGAGTTCTAGAGAGTTTCTTAGAGAATTTGGGTTTTGATTTTAGAATAATGAATTCATCTAGGTAATTAGGACTTACAAACCCTCTTAAAGTACCTAGAATACGCTTAGGAAACTTCCCAAACTCTTATTTGGATGTAGGGTGAATTTACCAATTCACCCTAGCATTTAACAGTGAAGTTGCGAAGTTGCAGACTTCACCTACGCGTGGCCTTCGACGGACCGTCTCCTGCGACCAACGGACCGTCCTGCTGGTCCGTGGTTTGAGTCATTAGGATGGTCCTTGGAAGCTTAGTATCCCACGCCTAAGTCTTGACCGACTCCCTCCACTTATAGGGCTTTGACCAGGCTACTGGCCGTCGATTGCCATCTGTAGGTGGGACTGCTTTTGGCAGTTTTGGCTACCAAGATGAGTCCTTCCTCAAGGACCCTTGGTTGGTCCTTGAGGATGTTTTCTTGGACGTTTACAACCCAAATGTAATTTTAACCACATCAATTTCATCCAAAATGAACACATAAAACTAGACAAAACATACTAAGACACACAAGGTCATTTCAAGGTAAACCTTTCGAACGTCATGGACGTTCTTGAACGTTTGACCTCCAAACTTCATGAAACTTAACACAGTACCTATACACACTATTAAAAATCATATAAGGACACCATAAGATCATGACTCACACATATAAGCACATAAAGACACATAAGTCCTATAGGTGACTAGTCGTCAAACGTCTTGGTCGTCCCTTGGCGTTTGACTTCCAATTCACCTAATACTTTAGACACAACCTCATTACCACATTATAAACAATTTTAGGACCATATAAAATCATGAAAAAAATTTATGATCTAGTTTCACCTAAGTCATTTTAGAGGTATTACATATCAATAGCTCAATACGATCTATATAAGGATTCAATACAATAGGGATAATGGTCAAATCACCCATAATATAGCCAAAATTAGGATTTCGTTATTTAGGTGGGTTCATAGGAATTTTGATCAAAATTAATTCAATTAATATCAATTATATCGTAAATCATTGATTCAAATCATTTTATGCAAGAACCTATGGCTAGATATCAAAATAGGAGATTTCATCTTTTGAGAAGTCTTAGAAAAGTCTTTTGAAGTTTGGCTACTTGAAGAAAGAATATTCAGAAATGGACATCATACCTTGATTTATGATTAGCCACAAAATTTATGGAGAAATCAAGCTCCAAGCTCCAAGCTCCCACCTTGCTTCAAGCTCCAATAGATTTCTAGAGGATTCTTCTTTGGGGTTTGGATTTTGATTTTTGAATAATGAACTTAACATGAGGTTATAGACATATAAAACCACTTAAAATACCCAAAAATCCCTTAAGTAACCGCCCAAACTATTTTTAGACTAGGTGAATTACCCAAAAAGCTCTTGGCTTGGCCGAGGCCCTGCAAAAAATCTGTAGGTGTCAATCGATGGAACAAACGATAGCCCTTTGATCAAACGACTGGCCGTGTTGGCACTCCGTCGTTTGATTCAGAGTATTAGGAAATGGGGATTAATCTCCCACCACCAAGTATGGAAATACGTCCCAATCGACGGGGCATCGATGGACTTAGTGTCCGTCGATTGGCTTTGTTGGTTAGGACTGTTTTGGCAGTCTTGACCCACAAGTTGGGTCCTCCTCAAGGACCCCTAGGGTGGTCCTTGGGGAGCCTTGTCCATATTTTTTCAACCTAAATAAATACTTCTATGTTTTAGGAACCTCTCAAATCAATTTGAACCAAAACGAACACGTAAAACATGCAAAGGCATACTAGAACACACACGCACGTCTCAAGGTTAGCTTCTGAACGTCTTGGATGTTCTTGGACGTTCGACCTACAAACTCTTCCAAACTTAACACACTGCCTCTAAACACTATAACTAAACATTTTAAGACCTTATAATCTCATGAAACACATATTAGGATCTAGATTCACCTAGTTCGTCTCAGAGGTGTTACAACTAGGAAACCCTAACTCTCAAGTTTGAATAGTAAGGAGAAAAAAGACAATATACCATCATCCCTACAACATTACCATGCTCCCACACTTATAAGGAACCCATCACAATAAAAAGAAAACTACAACTTATCGAAGCCCTTATCCGAATTTTCTTCCTTATTGGCTTGAAGAGCGTAGAAGTGATTCTTCTTTTGTACACCAACAATCGGGTCATTATAGGGAGCTTGCTTGACATCGCTTCCTCTAGTATCAATAGTAGGATAAACTCTCACCTTGTGATCATTCTTCCCACATCCATAGCATCCACTAGTACCGCCTAGACACTTCCAAAAGTGCTTCTTTCAACAATTTGAGCAAATAGGTTTATCAAGTTATGAACCACCACCCCTCTCATAGATAGCTTTAGGAGAACTAGGAACATCTTGATTTGGAGACCTCTTATTAAACCTAGGTTGACCTTGCTCATCGGTTCTTCACATCTCTACCCCTCATTTCAAGCTTCGACTCCTCAATGGATTGAGCATACACAATAATCCTAGATAGAGTTGTGTTATCATAGAGCATTGTCGTACAACACTCTTCCTTCACAAGATTGGAAACACCGGTCAAGAACCTACTCATATCATATCTAGGGTTAGACACCAAAGATGGAGCATATTTAGATGATAATGTAAACTTCAAAGAATGCTCTTCCAGACTCATGTTACCTTGCCTAAGATTTATAAACTTATTAATCTTAACCACTTTGTATTCACAGGGAAAGTGCTTCCCTAAGAATGCTTCCTTAAAATCCTTTCACTGTATAGGACCCGATTCAACCAGCCTATTATCCTTCTATTGTGTGTCCCACACTTGAGCAATCTCTTTCAATTGATTTGAAGCCAACTTTTTCTTCTCCCTAAAAGATGCCCCTATAGCATGGACTATCTTATAAACCTCATCAAAGAATCCCCCACCTTAGAGACAAGAAAGGTAGGAGGATGCATCCTCACAAAGTCCCTCAACATAGTAGTCATGGTACTCTCAAGAGCATTCACCCTAGGCCCTACATCTCTATTTGCTTGACCCGTCATGGATCGGGCTAGGGTAAGAAGAGTTTCTCTAAACTCCTCATTAGTTATGTTTGGGAAACCACCAGAACCTCATTCCCTTGATTAGCTATAGGGATTTTCACCTTGAGGTACTAGCTCATCTAGGGGAGGAACAACCTCATTCACTACTCCTTCTTTCACTCTTCTTGTGGATGTACTTCTTGTATTCATATCCTATAAAAACAAAAGAAGAGATTAGGAAAAGACACCTATAGAACTCAAATCTATGGCATGACACAAGAGTAATGAAGAAAGTGAAACTTTTATCGTCCTACAACCTCTCGCTCATAGATGTGTCGTGACTCACACCGATGAGCAAGAATCTACTAGACGTGTCCTCATGAGACTTTGAACCCTAAAAAACTACTTCATAAACTCATGTTATATACCAAGTTTTTTACAACCAAAAAGTACCCTCTAGAAGTAACACAACATACTGGACCTCTCAAAGGTCTTATACAAGCCCTTAGCATCACATAAATATGAAAAGTAGTGAGGAACTTAAAACTTTTCACAATAAAGTCAATTAGAAAACCCTTTTATAAAACAAAAGAAGAACTAAGTCTCATCACAAAGCCACCTTAGACACATCTCATTATCATATGGTCACGACCCTTTAGATTGAAAATAAACTTATGTCTAATACAAAGTCTTTAATGAAAGAAAACTAGAAACATAGTCCATGTCCTCGACCATACGAGGACATACCAAAAGTCTTGAGAGAATTCTTCAACTCAAGAAATCGTTACTTGCAACCACCTATACTTGTAGACATAGAGAAGAATAGGAGTTAGTAAAATTAAGCATAAAGTAAGATGAAAATGCAAGAAATCATAAAAAATGGGACATTTTAGTTGAAATATGCATTTCATGATATTTTAGATAAAAATCTCATAAACAAGGTATAAAAGTCATCATCCAAGTCCATCATTAACTACATAAGATAATACTCACATAATCTTCAAGATACGACCATAATCAATAAGTAATCCATTTAGCCATTTAGATCCTCAAACTAAGGTTATCCTGAGGCCCATCTAGGTAAGATATGAAGAGACCGCCCATACAACCTCTTCATACACACCTAGATGATTCTCAAGACTACCCTAAGCAAGGCTATATCCTTTCCAACACAACCACAAAAAGTCAACATTCATTACTAAGATCCTAAAAGAAACATTCATGCATTCAAGGGACTTCACATAATGGTCTTGGAAGACCTAGGGAACTCACTTTAGCATCTTCAAAGCCTACGCGTACTATGTGTATATACCGTCTCACTCCACTACCCACACGTTGTAGAACCTATCCAATAACTAGAGTGCATATACCACATAATGAGAATAGGTATTAACCGACATAGACCACACTAGCTAGGTACATAATCCAGTTTCATAAGACCCCACACAGTGAGATGTGTTTAACTTGCCAAAAGTAGAATTAAGGACACTTCCCATGTAGGCACATGGCTTAGGTTATATCAAGGTTTTTTTGTACTCTAGTCTCATCCTCAAGTAGAGTTACTACCATAAGTATATCTACTCGGTGCTTTTCCTTGGTTCTCTTTTCCTTGGTTCTAATAGAGTAAGTTCATTTACATAATAGTATTTGAGAAGGTACCATCTCTAAGTCCTACCAACTCATAATACCCCTACCAAGAAGGGGTCCACAAGGGTTGTCGATCAAGGTTCATTAGGATAGCTCATTCATGAAACGGGTACCATGCTAGGTCTATTCGATTCACTTCATTATTAACCTTCTTTTCATATTAAAGTTATCACATTCACTTAGGGTTCTAGACTCATCAAGAAGGGGCACCATTCTTAGGTTTACAAGTTTAAGACATACTTTAGAACACCTCATTTATCATTCATGTATGAAGTAGGAATCATAATCACATACCAACATTTAGAGGAACATGTTTTCATTCACAATATCACATAGCTTTATACAAGATCTCCTCAAGATCACATGAACACCTTCACATTACACAATCAAATATACAATATTATCTTTCACATTGTACACCCATAAAACCATAACATCATGATACTACAATCACATAATAATGCCGACAAGTTCATGTTCCTAATAATTAAAACAATTAAGCACTTCCACCGTAAGTGGACCATACTAATCAATAGAAATTCGATATCAATTCTACATTAAATAAGGGAATTAGGTCAACTTACCACCTTCCTATAGCCACAATCACCATTCGTCAACATCTCTAACAATTTCCACACAACAATAGAGCTTACCCATTATCATACCCATAAGTCTAGACCACCAACTCATCCTTATATCCACATTCATCATACATATAGAGATAGAAAACAATAAGAATCAATAATATTAATCAATCTTAATACAATCCCCTCCATAATCAATCACAATTACCAAACCCACTTTACAAGCCAAAATTAGAGAATTAGGAAAATCATGGATTCATGGAGTTTTTTTTATCATAAAACCATCAATTAACATTGAAAACATCATAACTCATCCATTCAAACCTTATAATGCAAGATTACATGCTTTAGAATTCAAAATAGAGTTTTTAGGATTTTTGAGATCTTTTGAAAATCATTTGAATCAGCTCCTTGAATGATAGAAGAATCAAGTATGAAATCACCATACCTTATTGAAGTCATATCCCCGAAATTTGGGTTGAAACCTTTGAGAATGGACCTTCTTCCTTGGAGCTTGAAAGTTCTTCACTGGAGGTTTTCGAGAGAGAGAATTTAGAGGGAACGGAGAGCTTTTGATTTTGAATTGAGGGTTTTTGTATTTGATTGGTGAAGTGGGGTAAAAGTGACTCAAAAACCATTTATAAGAAATTCCAAAGTACCCAAAACACCCCTACACTAGTTAGACCTTCTAATTAAGTCTAACTTGACTTTGAAACGACACAACCAAATCTAGGATATGGTTGCGCGTCGCGGTGGCACTTTCCAGTCTTGTTTATGCAATTTAATTTGAGGCAGAAAGGTTCGTGACAAGCCTGCGATGCAAAGTCATCTTTTTGCTTCTAAGTGTTGGGCGTGCGACGCGCCATCACCTCCAAAAATGGGTGTTGCCTGCACGCTGCCTTGGTAGCCTCTTAGTAAAAGTTTGTCCTCCTCGAGGACCTTTTGGTTTGTCCTTGGGGAGTCATACCTGAAAAATTTGACCCTAAAATCGTTTATTAAGACACTAAGGCCACCTCCACTGATTTTTTACTCTAAACGACACATAAAAACAAGGAAAACATACTAGAACACAAAAGACTAGTTTACGAACGTTTTGGTCGTCCTTTAACGTTTGACTTGGAAACTCTTTACAATTGACTTCACAGGCTAAATTTCATTATTTTAACAAGTTATTAACTCAATAAACTCATGTGAAAATATACTTTATCCTAGTTCATTTAGAGGGTCGTAACAGATAGGGAAGAGGGTGTATGTATGACAACTCTTTTGCATCTTTAAAGGATAAACATCAAGATGAAGAGATAGGTACAAATATGTCAATCAATGCAAACCAGATGATAGGCAATAAGTAGCACGTCGGTTCCACAAATGAATTGATAGAAGAGATTTTGTACAAAAAGAACAAGTAGCAAATCATACATAAAACAGATAAGATAAACAGGGTGGACATGATGGGGAAAATAATAACGATGCCAAAGATTGGAGAGATTAGTATTCCTGCAAATTCAGAAAAAAATTATTCAGATACCTCAATGTGCTTAGGAATGTAGTACGACAGGGATGGAGATCAAAAGATCGGTGATAGTAACAATAGGAAGGTTCCAATGCCCACACTTGTAGTAGCAGCAGAGAGAATAATGTTGATGAAGAAGAGATACTAGGAGATATGGTTGAGCCTCAACATGGTCACATGAGCAGGGTTAAATTTAACATACATGGATATAAAAAGCCACAACAAGGTGATGATGAAGAATTAATACACCTTTTCTTGCTGGAAAATCTGATCCAATCGAAATGTTACATGAATTGATTTCACACAAATTTTTGAACAAAGGCCCTGTAATCATGGCAAAGAATCTCAGTAAAGAACATTGAAGTAAAGGAAAAAAGAAGAAGAAAATGACATAGATATACAGAAGTAACGATTATCACCAAAGATGTACTGCAAAATAAGAAAAGGCAAGGGTAAAGGAGAGACGAGTACAACAATTACTACAAGATTTCAAATCATAAGGAAGATAAAATCAATTTCTGAATTATTCATAAAACATTGTTTTGAATATTAGGTCTGTTAAAACACATCCTTTCATGGGGTTCTACATTGACACATGTTTTTGATAATTGCATTGATGGAACCATTTTAAAGTAATAGGCAAATTCGGAGGTACAAAAGAAGGCTAGGGGATACAATATATTAATTATAATACAAACGAAAAGATTTGGGTGCAATATTCAAGTGGGGGGTTGTAGCATATTCTGAACAACGTTTGACACTACATCACACATTAGAAGATGGTAATCATATCTTAGTTATTGTGGTCTATGCTAATTGCTCTAGTATTGAGAGATTAAATCTCTGAAAAGATCTTTACCCAATAAGTCAGTATCTTACAATGTCTTGGATAATGGGTGGTGATTTTAATGTAATTCTAGGGAATAAAGAAAAATTGAAGGATTTCTAGTTTATCCAAATGAATTTGAGGATTTTGCCTTATGTCTTAACTATGTTTCTTTCTCTGGAAATTCTTTTACATGGTGAAATAGAGTAGATGAAGCATGTAGTTTCAAGAGGATAATATGGATAGATTTAATAATTTAATAAATAAATAAAAAAAATAAATCTAAAAGAATTATTATTGACAAATTCAGACAGTGAACAAAGCTTATATGTTGTTATATAAATATTATATCATAACATATTAATTAAGGTGTTAAATTTTAACATTCTCTCGTATAAATTTTAATATTATCTTATAATAAGTTAATTTTTTTAAATTTTTCAATAAATTAATATTTACAATTACATTTATCTTTATGAATACTAGTTTTTTTTTGTAGCATTAGAAAATTTATTTTTATTTTCATATTTTAAATCAATTTTAATAATTTATAAATTCTTGCAATTTTATGACCTTAGAAGTTTCCAATTGAAAAAATAGGACAAGTGAACCTCTTTCATTTTTTTACTTTTTTATTTTCAACATTAATAAAAGGATTCAATTAATAGCATCTTTCATAGTGGTATGGACAACTTCTATAGTTGTTTGGACAAATATTGAAGTTATCAAATGACTAAAGAAATTGTTCAGACAACTACAACATTTATTGAATGATTAAAGAAATAGTGCCAATAACTATAATAGGTATTGAATTAAAGTGTAAAAATTTAAACCTATTAGGAAAACTATCTTTCAATCTAATATTATATTATTGGTCAGTATTATTAAGACTTAAAAGGCTTCTGCACAATTGATTGACAAACTAGTCTCTAATTAACAAAAAGTCTCTTTCAATAGATAGACCTTCCCGTGGTGACATGTGATGTTTTTTCTTCTTATTGTAATAATAAGATAGATTATAGCTGATGGTTTTGCCTAGTAGTTGTTGGAAATGAGTGTTGTATTGTCAACATCAGTTTTGCCCTTGTGTGGTAGCCTTAACCCAGAGAATGTTCAGCACATAACCAAGGTACGTTTGAACCCTTGGAAAATCTGTAATCTTAATTTTAGGAAGAAGGGGTTAAAGTTTGTAGTGAGAGAGCAGAAAAGTAATTTTGTTGATTTTGATTGGGAGGATGAATATGAAGATGAGTATGAAGACGAAGATTCGCCGTGGGAAGGCGCAGTTGTGTATAAAAGAAATTCTTCTGTTACACATTTGGACTATTATACCACATTAGAAAGGCTGGGGTTGGGCAAGCTCTCCACAAAGGTTTCAAAGTGTCGAGCTTCTGTAATGGGACTGAGGGTCACAAGACAAGTCAAAGATTATCCTGATGGAACTCCAGTTTTAATTTCCTTTGATGTCACAAGGATGAAGCACAAGTTGAGGCTTGACGGAATTATAAGGACTGTCATCGCACTCCCTTGCAACAGGTCTCTTTTTCCCTTACTTTATTTATCAATCCACTACTCCTTTTATTGCTAAATTCTACTCTTATCTTCACAACAAACATTGTATTTTATAGTCAGTTAAAGCATACACAACTGGACAAGCTGTCCCTAAGGAGATGGCCGAGTGGTTGAGGCTTAGGAATAATCTGAGATCCTACCCTTGGTCATAGGACTTATCCAACACCTATATTTATTTATTCGCACTAGTTGCCCGTTGATTAGTCAAGGTGTGAACAAATTAGTTTAAATACCACCGATATAAACAACTATAGATGTATGCCACATTTGACAGAGGGCGCAAGTAGTACTTGTAAATGACATGTTCTTTTGATGATTTATTGGAGAAGAAAAGCCTCATTCTACATGTAGGCAACAACTTCCCATTTCTTAGAGGTCTTGTCAGAGTCACCTCTAGGAGTTCCCTGAGCCCTCTCAGATAGAGTTTTAGCAAATTTCCCGTCTACTCTGCTGATGAAAGCTTTCATCAGTTGCTCAAGACCTGATTGATTATGTTGTGGAGGCTGATATTGCTGCCTCTGCTGATTCTGGAACCCTGAGAATGCTTGCTGTTGTTGTCACGGATTAGCACATCCCTTTAAAGAGCTCCAAGAAAATCGAGGATGCCTTTATCCCATAGAATCAAAGTTGTTCCCTCGTCTCTGTTGAAATCGCCCGCCTCAGTTACCTCTCTCTTCTTTTGACATGGGTCCCTGTTGACACAAGTAGGGTTTCCCTGTCCACAAAATTCATACCTCGATGTTGGTGCTGCCTGTACTTGAGCTATATTGAGATGTTTAACATCATTCGCAATTGAAGCGATTTGAGTCTGTAATGTAGTGTATGCATCCACTGGGTGTACCCACTCAATCTCTGCAAGTTCATTCAGAGTACCAATTGCTTCCTCGACTGTATGTTTTAATGATACGACCGTCCCTCTGCATCATTATCCTCCGTGAGACCAGTGACAACCCTTCCTAGATATTGGTCAACTACATCCTTGGTTCTATCCCATTGTGGGGCCATTTTCTCAACAGTCTTTGAACTTCTCGCATGCTTCAAGCAGAGTTTCTAATTCAAGCTGTCCGAAATTTCTGATTTCTTTCTCATTCTTGTCGTTTTTGTTGGTGGGAAATATTATCCAGAAACTTTGTGGTCATTTCATCCCAGGTGTGGATTGATCCTGTTGGTAGGCTCCTTAACCGGGATCTTTGCCTCATCTTTTGGAGAGAAGAGGATGCCCCTCAAATAGATGGCATTATCGGATGCCCCTTTGTAATGTAAAGTATTCACGATTTCATCAAAATCCATCAAGTGACTGTTTGAATCTTCATTTTGCTTCCCTCTGAACGCACAACTATTTAGAATTGATTGGAGAACACTGTGCTTCATCTCGAAATTATTGTCCGAGATAGGAGGTCATCTTACACTAAACTGTATCCCATTGCAGCTTGGCCTGGCATAATCTCCCAACAATCTCCCTGCCCTGCCATTGTTTTAATCCACTTGGTCCTCCACTTCTGCAGGAGGGTGAGTGTTTCTACGGTTAACAACCCCCTGATTTTCAACATCATCCTCCATGCCAGGAGGTTGTGAATTGTGATGATTGGGGTTGAGTGGATCATCAAGTGCAGTATGTCAACCATCCTCGGCCATGATGCTCTGACTATTGGACTGCCCTGAGACTCTCTGCAAGTTCCTTCTTAAGCAGGCATAAAGACTTCCAACTATGGGGCTTGTACTGAATGATTTCTTTTAATGACAATTGTGTCATACACCAAAATTAGAAACTAATACTGGTTGCCTTAGCGATCAGAGATAAACTTGAAATGTTAAACAAAAATAGTAACAAATAAAAGTCTGAACTAATACACAAGATTCTTTTTCAAACTGACACCAAAATATGAGTAGCGCAAATTACACAATACCTTACTTCACTAGTCAAACATAATATAGATAGATTACCGTTTCCTCAGGGATTGAAGTAACATCAACAAAACTTGCTCAGTATTATTTAGGTAGATTTCCTGGACTTTCTGATCAATATGAGAAGTGAAGGAGACTGACAATCAACGTATATGTTCTCATTAACAAGAAAAGTATCTCTAGATCAACACTCACTCTAAGTTATGATTGATTCTTGCGAATTCAATCATTACTTGTCATACCTTAATGAATCCAGATCTTCTTTAAAATAATCTGCTCTTCATGAATACAATAGTACTAGAACTGTATATGTTGCCTCTATAATGTCACATGTCTTAACTCAAGAAAACGCTTTCCAATTGTTTTCTATCAATAAATATTTACGTCTAAATCATTAAGCTCTTTCAATTACTTTATAGAAATGGGTAAGAAGAGTCAACCAAGAATATGAATTAATTTATCTAATTATCCTTCCTTCGAATAGAAAGTTACGCTGAACAAATCCACAATATAATTTATCAATAGCAAAATCTCAGCTACCGATCAAGAATATAAAATCTAGTTAATGATTACATATAGTTTCCGCCAAACTCCCAAACAAAAGTGTACTCCATAGACAAGGAAGAGTTCACAAAATGATAGAAAAAACAAGAAGACATTACAACCGATCTCTCAACCCCAAACTTCCGTTTTGGATTGGAGAAAATGTTATAACCTCATCTTCCTTGCATTCTCCATCTTTTCCACTCCAAACCCAGATGCTTTAAATTGGGATGAGTTTGTAGTTTAGGGGATGTGTCGAACAAACTTCCAGAATTGCCCCTCGATTTAAAACTGCACGCCTTGACGTTGTATGCTCGCTCAGCTGGAACTCCAAAGGCACGGCTGACCACGCAGCAGTAGCAGCCATTTCTCGCTCACTGCCTCACTTGTGAGGTTGGCTGCATGATCACACACTGCCTTCCTTTTGTCTTTCAACTTGTTTCTTCTTCGTTTCGCTCATTTGGCTCTCAGGTTAGCCCCATATTCACCTGGATCCACTGTATTTTAGTAGTATCCAAGCTTCTTCCCTGAACTCCAAGGGCAAAGCTGATTCAGGCAGGAATTTGCAGCCATCAGAAGAAGGAGAAGGGGGTTTCTGTATGTGAGATGGTGGTGGTTGGGGGCGAGATACTTCTTTCTTCTACCTAAATTTCTTCATGAGAAGTTATATTTCTTCCTTAAACCTCTGAACTGTCAATCCTTCACATTCATTTCTTATAACCTGCCCTGATCCATTCATTTTGGTAATTTATATGATTTTCTTCGACACAATTGTCATAAAAAAGCAAAAAAGTGAGTTCTGCAACTTTCATAGTTCTGATGACCTGCGTGGAATTTACTTCCTTCTGTTGAGTTCCTAGTGTTTATTGAGTTAAAGTGAACGCCAGGAAATCAATATATGATCCTGCTAATTGATTCCTCCTTCCTAAGTTCATATAAAACTTCTTCTGCCAATACATTAGGACTCATGAATGATTTGAATGAATGACTTTCCAAGTATATGACCTCTGATAATACTGGCCATGGTGCAGTGTTATCAAAAGCAAAAAACACAAAAAGGTCTAAGGCATGTTAGGAATATAAGCACAACTCGCACATAAAGCGTGGACTTTAATGAAAAAAGCCGTAAAGGGAGTACAAATACAAATGTATACATGTTTATTCCATGATTTTAGTAATTATAAGCGTGAACACAAATACTTGAACAAAAAAAGGGAAGAAAATTACGATAAAGCATAATATCAATTGTTTTCTTGGCAAGGATAAGTATGTCTTTAAATCTTGATGATGGCACTGATGCACACATTGAGCTAGTCAAGTGCTCAACACATTTTGAACCTCGCTTCAGGGCTTAAGCGTGCTTAAAGGGCACCTTTGACAACACTGCCATGGTGGAAGCCAAAAAGGTTTGATCTACATCAAATTGGAAGAAATGCCGCATGAGTCTTTGATGATGACCAAACTCAAAGCCCCAATGGCTATGGTTTGTGGTAAGAGCCAGCACATCCGTGTGATGTGTGAGTCAGGTGCATGTCATAGCTTCGAACCGTGCCATAGACATGCTGGTATTTAAGTGGAGAAGGGTAGAGGGGCTGACACTTGGGAATTTCTTGGTCATCCACAAAAAAAGAAGAAGAGAAGAGAGTCTCTCATTATGACTAGCGTTGAAGTTGTATAATTTATGTTACCTAGAGAATGTCAAAAAAGTTAGTACCTAGTTTTACATCTGTGTAAGGTGGTCAACTGGTGGCTACTGACTGAAATGGACGAAACAGTCTCATTTAACCTTAAACTAAAAGATTGAAATAATCCTGAACTATCCCCCATTTCTCCAAAAACTTACAATGCCTCCAGAGGGGACCAAAACGCGTAAGATTTTTTTGACATGTCATTTACTTTTCCTTGTTGAAGACATGATTAAGTAAATAAAAGTGTGATCTTTGTAAAAGCTTAAGCTTTTAGGTGAGATGGTCTCACACAGTCACACTTCAACATGGTATTATAGTGGAGGTTCGAGCCCCCTCCCCCCCCCCCCCCCCCAGCTATTATTCAAAAGAATTTTCATGTTCATGACTCATTAGAAAATGAATCAAGCCCGCACGTGAAGGGCCTGTTTAAGACATAATTAAGTAATGAATGTATGCTATCTCTAATTTCTTGGGGGTCATTTCGTAGAGTGTATAAAAGTAATGCAAAATAGAGTGTATTAGTAATGTTTGCATTAGTAATTCATGTATTGGTCACACTTGCGTTAATTATACATAATGTAAGATAGAGTGTATTAGTAATGCATGTATTGGTTATGCTTGTGTATTATACATAAATTATGTTTATGCATTGTTTGGTATGATGCATTAAATATATTATGTATTGCATAAAAAAAATATTTACAAAGATACACTCCACTATTCTGGTGGAAGAGATGTAAAAGAAGTTGTGAGGGGTAATTGAGTCTTTAATTGAGTTAATGCATGCATTAAAATCATTGCACTGCTAATATATAGAAATCAATGGTATTAGTAATGCACACCTTAATACACAATAGAGTTTGTAACTAATACAAACTTTAGTTATGCATATATTAGAAAGAGTACCAAACAAGGTACTAATAATACATAAGTCTGATGCATGCATTATTTTTCCTCATACACTACCAAACGACCCCTTAAGCTTTTAGATGATGATCACACACTTCAACACCCACACATGAAGGATCTGTTTAAGACATAATTAAGTAATAAATGTATGCTATCTCTAACCACTTAAGCCTTTATATGATATGATCACACACTTCAACACACCTTAAAATATGTCTTCCTTGTATTGTTTAGATAATCTTTTTGCCTTACAAATGGTTCAAAAAGTAAAAATACTCTTATTTTACATGTATACATAACCTGAAAACTCTTCCTTGTAATTCTAATGTTCATTATTTGTTTGTTGTCAAATTCCATTTTCATTTCACTTCAAAGCAAAAATATTGGTGTTTGTCTAATGGTGAATATTGTACTTGTGAAGGTGCGGTGAACCAGCTGCAGAAAGTATCTTTTCAAACTTTTCCCTCCTATTGAGTGAAGAACCTTTAAAGGAAGCAGAGACCCTGGATATGGGCATAATGTTTGGAGATGACAAATTCAAAAGTTTTGTAAATGTGGAAGAGGAAATGGAGGAGAATGATGGTTGGATACCTTTAGAAGACCAGCTGTATTTTCCTGGTGATGAAAAAATGATTGACATTTCAAAACATATTAGAGATCTGGTGCACATAGAAATCACCATTAATGCTGTGTGTGATCCCAAGTGCAAAGGTTTGTGTCTGAAATGTGGTGCTAATCTTAATGTCAATAGGTGTAGTTGTCATATGGAAAAGATAGAGGAGAAAGGTTATGGTCCTCTTGGAGGTCTGAAGAAGCAAATGCAGCAAACATGACATTTTTTGGTGTGTAATACTTATTTTTTTATAAGTTGAATTGAAAGGTCTTTCCCTTTTGCTTATTTTTTTTTTATATGCGAACAAAATTACTACGCAACTTTTGAGAGAGTTGAGAAAAAAGCGTGTGGATGTTGAAATGTTTGTTCTACTTCTCTCCCATTTCCTGTCACATGCCATTGTACGTAGTGGATATTGTTTGATCTCCACCTAAATAAAGTGAAAGAGAGAGATATGTATGAATTTGAAGTTCCAATATATTGAAAGGGTTCTAATATTTTGTTCGGTATTGAGCAAAGAAAAGTAGACATGTAAAATTTTCTTATCTATAGATATGAGAAAAATAGACATGTAAAACTTTCTTATCTATAGATATGTTTCATCCTCTCATAGCTAGACTGCATATTAATGCAAGTATGCAACCATACCACCTTCTCAATGATGTTTATTTTTAAGAGGGCACCTGGTTTCCTACCCACTTTCTATGGAATGGATCTATCATAGAATTTGGTGAGTAGCTGTGAAAATCTGATCCATCTTAGTTTTTAACTGACTAGGATGAACTAAGATCCTTCATGTAGAGGCTTTTATTTTTATTTTTTTTTGCATGTTTTCCTCTAGCGTTAATTTGGCTTTGTAGAATCCCCAACCTGAGTCAATTAGAGTAAGGGTCTCAATAGGTTTCCAAAGCTACATTAATTTGTTTTTGAGGTATTGGTGTGTGATCGTAGTTATATAATGACTGAGAATTCGTTTGATTAGGGAGGGTTGTCATTTCCTCAGATGGGTCTTTTTCAAGAGAGAGATGGAGTACAATTGTTTGTTATCCATACACTATTCAAAATACCGCTATCATTGCTCTTTTGATCAATTCGTAGACATTAGCCTATTATTTTATAGCTAGGAGTCAACATTTCCCCAAGGAAAAAGAAATCTTTATTGGTTCCACCTCTTATTTATGAAGAGAATGAATAGTTTTCTCGAAAAGTCAGAAAAAATGGGTTAGGATCTTCTGCGGGAAATGATTTGAAAGATTCAAAATAAAAAAACAGTGGTATTTACTAGCAAAAAAATCTGACTTGAACGATCATGTATTACGAGCTTAATTGGCTAAGGGTATGAGTCATGATTATTATGGTGAGCCAGCTGGCACTTGTCGTGGCTTTTCATAACTTTGCTATGCAAAAATGGGATATGCACTTGAAATGGACGTCCGAGTTAAGATATATATCATGAGCGATATGAAAATAGATCGAGTAATCTGTTTCTTTAGCCAAGAAAATATGTTTTTAGTGGTCCAATCAATGATCGCGAAAATTTCTACAATAAATTGGATAGGTCGCTAAAACCCTTTCTATCTGATAGAAAAGGATCCCATGATCCTGAACCAATTAAATTCCAAGTTTGTCTATGAAGAAGGATCTAATTGTATAAGTGCGAGTCAATGAGTTGGGATTTCTCTATTAGTCTAAGTCATTTCGAGGCAAGAGGATCATTTATGATGAAGAGGATGAGCCTTTCGTCGCCTAGCAAACGAAAAAATTGCTATCAAACTGCTCGCCCTATTAAAGTACCAAAGGTGTGCTCAACACGGTAACTAGGAAATGAATTTGCCCTTAAATTTCATCCTAGTAGCAATTTCAGCTCCGTACAAGGTCATAATCGATATTGTCACTAGCATCAAGATTGTCGCTATCATATATATCATCATTATCATCAATATCGATCTCATAAAGAAAAAAACATTTAGACTTGTTATCTAGGAACTTGTCCAGAAATATCATAATGAAATGAACATAAGAGTTTGTCGTTAGGTGTTTGACCAAATAGAATCATCCAATAATATTAGACCAAAAAAATAGGGGTGAACAAATTCAAATAAAAAATTGCATCAAACTACAAATTATCGAGAAAAAAAAAATTCTATTAATAATTGGTTTGACTTGATTTTTGGTATCGGAAAAAGAATCGGACTATACTTGGATTGATTTGGTTTTAAGTTAAAGAAATGTCAACTTAAGATCAATCTAACTCGACATTATATATAATTTTTAAAACTTATTTTATATATAAAATTCTTTACTTTGAAATAATTATAAATATTTCTTATACTTTTCATAGTTTTTATCTTAACATATTATTTCAACTTTTCAAGTTTGACTTAAAATTTCAAGTAGTCCAATAAATGTTATAACTCATAGAATATTAGTAACTCTAATAAAGCTCAAATCAAAATTAAATTAATACTAATGCTATAAAAATTCAATTGAACACTAATAATAAAAGTAATAATGTTGAATATATTTTCTTTAGTTTTACATTTATTTATGTAGAAATTCATGTAGAAATCTCACATAGAGAAATCAAGGAATATATTTCTAGTATTGATATATTGATCAATATTGATAAAATGATATGTTGATCAATATTTGTAGTATTGATATGTTGATCAGTAATGATGTTATTGATGAATAATAATGTTAATAACATTCTTCTTATATAGGAGAGAATTGTAGAGTCCTAAGTTAGCTATACTTAGAGTCCTACTACAATACCTACTACTACTATAATAATAATAATGCAACTATAAACAATTTAATCCTAATTGTATTATAATCCTAATCATAAAAATAATTCTAGACGAAATATAATCATAATTAATATAGGTAGTCTAATGCTAGTGTGACTCTAATTCTCAGCAGTGTTGTAACTCGCCAGTCAATTTTGTTGGACCTGTTCCTTCGACATGTTCCAATCCTCAGCTTCCTTCTTCATCAATTGTAGACAAGTCAGTCAACATGTACCAATCACCAGTCTCCTTCTTCATCAACACTTCCCCTCAAGCTAGTGAGTAGATGAACGATTACTCCTAGCTTGCTTTGAATATCCAGAAAAAATACTTTGAATACCAACAAAAAACTTATTTTGTCAATTCTTCGGTATATTGATGTTGTGTTTTTTTTTCTGCAAATATCCAACAACAAAAAAAACTTTGAATACCCATCAAACACTTGTTTTTTCAATGCTTCGGTATGTTGATGTTGTTGTTTCCTCTTTCCCTACCTTTTTGGGCAGATAATACCATGTTATGATTTTGTTATGACATTATTTCTTCATCTTCCCTTATATCAAAGAATGAGAGCATTAACAAATTGATTAAGGGTGGGATATGGGTCATATGTTGCTGCAGATGTGTGATGGGTTGACAAATTTGTATCAACAATTGTGTCACATGTTGCAATACACGAATTATCTGTACCAACATATGCCACAAATGTTGCTACAGATGACCATATGAGGCCAAAAAAATAAACAATTGAGGCGTATCTTGCTACATATGCCTCAATATTTCCACATATGGGTCATATGTTGCTGCAGATGTGTAATGGGTTGACAAATATGTCTTAACATTTGTGTCACATGTTGCGATAGACGAATAATCTGTAGCAACATATGCCACAAATATTGCTACAGATGACCGAAATAGTTCAACATCTACTATATAAGATAAAATAAAACAACATAATTGATAAAATAAAACATTGTCTTTAATTACAAACACATTCTCAAGGCTTTAAGATCCGAGATATTATCCCATTAGCCCAAACATATTGCATCCGTTCAATTAGATTGTTACATAGCAGGGTTTTGCGAGGTAGAATTTCTGTCCCGCTACCCAAATGTTCAATGAAATGCAAGGGAATATAACCCGCACATTGATCGAGTTGCATTTTTTTACCATGGGTTCCATTCGACCTTGAACTTCCCATGGTTCAGTGAGCAACTTTTCTGGAAAACATTTCATTATTCCACTCTGTTTTAACAATTTAGGCAGCAACTTGAAGACAGGTTGTATGTTGATACACTCAAACTTACTTCTCAAATAAGAAGTAAAGCGGTCGTGTCAAGTAAATAACCCAACTAGTGAGGTTGAGATCGTTCCCTCGAGGAAAATAGTCTAGACTTAACTTCAACTTGTTATTACTATTGTTTGGTCAATGACTTTCTTGGAAAGTAAAAATAATAAAGGGGGATTTTCTATTTCTAAATGAGTGAAAATAAATAACGAAGTTGAAAGAGACACTTAACAGCTTTTGAATATTGAGTTTTAATCAATTAATCAAAGTAACTAGGGTTTACGTGTTCCCCACAGGTTCATAACTTGATAATTCCA